TCGAAAATAAGGAGCCCTTTCGAAATGTTTCAAAACCTTCGCGAGTCTCCTCCTTAGAGGTACTATCCGCGATAGCTGAGTGGCTGTAGAACTAGGAGAAGAGCGCACTTTGGCTTGGAGGGGCCATTTTGCTGGTTCCCATCGATCACCACCGATGTCTCCTGTGAGGGTCTATCAAAGCCTGCATGCTTCAGCATGATATCCGTTTATATGTACTTCACATCTACAGGTCCTACCAAGGTGAAATGTGTAATTCAACAGAAACTAGCAAAAGAAGCTAACGGAAGCGCAGAGCGCCCCCTCCTCCTGAGCCAAACACGCCGGACTGGCCTACCCTCTTTCTCACTCTTTTAGAATGGGAAGATACACCAGTTGGAAGCAGACTCCACGATAATCGGTGGGCGGAGGCTCAGAACTCCTGCGCCATCCTCATTGGGGTGCTCCGTCCTCGCTCTCTGGAAGCACTTCTCTTTCTATTGACCATTGCATTCACCGATTTTTTTTCATCGTACTGTTTCCAGGAGATGGATGACGCAGCGGATCTTCTCGAGCAAGGTCCCACTCAATTGCCGGTTTTCAAGGACGAGTTGTGATTTCTAGTTGTGTGATATTATTTAATAACATTAATGTTAATAAATTTGTCGAAATTAAGACAATGGAGCTGCAGTTTGAACCAACAACGTGGGCACCTACCAGGATATTTTTTAGCTCTATGGGTCACTTTAAGGCTCAGTGATTTCCAATCTGAAAGGAAAATGCAAGAGAAGTGTCATATGGGAAAGAAGGTTGTAAAAAAGCCGTAATTGTTGAGACGCATTCCAGAAGGAACATGCGGGACTTCTGGATAGAAAGAGAATTTCCTTCTTGGAACCCTTACCTGCGTTAAAACGAGACAGCACTGAAATCAGAGAGCTACAGGATCAGCACAGAGGGAGGGCTTAGAGGGGCATTCAAAGGACCATTTGCGCAAAACTAGGACAACCGGAATGGGAGGACTTTGCCCATGCCTGAAGATGGAAAAAATTCGGCAAGAATTAGTACCGCCCAAGAAGTGGAAGATGCCGCACCAGCGAACCCAAGGCAAGTTTCGTCATTCTTTCCGGGTCCGGGCTGTCGTAACCGGCCCGCATGTATCCAAGAAACGGCTATGGGTTTACTCTGTGCGGTCCCCTTCAGAGGGCAAAAAAGCTGCTCGTGCACAATAAGCTGGCTCAACCAAAACCTGTCCTGCAGCGATCCTGCTTTAACAAAACTCTTCAGGCGTAACTTTCTGCAGTTTTTTTAGGAGCGGAAATTCTCACGGACTACCCTTGGGCGTGTTTACGAGCTGAATGATCCGCTGCGAGCAATGGTTTGTAGATCTGTTTCACTAGAGAGAAGGAAATCATACGATGTGAGCATAAATTATGAAATGCACTGAGGCATTTTTGACGCAGTTCGGCTTAGAAGGGGCCTTTTGCACTTTCACTATTTCCTGATTGCTAAGTTCATGTTCAACCAATTCTCCGCACTGTTCAGTTCTGCACTGCTGGTTATATCCTGCACCAGCGCTCTTCGCCGGCTGACGGAGATCCGTGGGCGCCCTACCTCTGAGATACAAAACGGCTTCGCCGCTGAGCGGGGCCGCGGCTCCGTCCAGCTTATGCCTTCTTCCACGTCAGTTTTTTTTTGAAAGCAGATGCGTCAAGCATTCTTTGACCAATAGCGCGTTCACATTCCACATCATACCTGCTATTTTCAACACTATTATGGTGTATGGAATGATAAAAAGGAGCGTTGATCAGTGGACAGATGAGAGAAAAGTCGGGTATGTATCGAGCATGAATATATTAGGTTGTCCCAAAAGTTCTGGGACACTTTTTGAATCTCGTATCAGATTTTTCCGCAGCCATTTCGAGATCCAGTTATGTGGTCTATGGGAAGTGTGTGAGGTAAGCATTCCACAGCTTCTTCACCGTCCCTCGCAGTCGCTGTTCTCATATGAAAAACGGTAATTGAAATTCATCATTTTCGACACACTTCGCTATATGGATCTCTACCAAGCCACAACGTGGTTCGAGCCATAAGCGGCATTTCCCTTATTTAGATCTTGATGTTAGCTTCCACAGTACGGCTTTGGAATGGCTCAATTGCTTCTGCTTTAGTGACTTCTATCCGGGTGAAAAACTTCGTCCAAGGAGGCCACCTGCCTTGGATTTGGACCTACTGTGTTCCTTGATTAAAACCAATACGTACAAATCAACTTGCTATCTATTCCTTACACTTGACTGGTCCCAAAGCACAAATGAGAGAAGGCCTCGCTCCCTTAGAAAAGTTATGAAGTTCGATCAAAATTTTTCTCATGAGTTGACCAGTACTCCAAGGGGAGCACATGTGGGTACTGTCTACAACTTCTCTCCCGCTTCCGCTGTACGGCTGGTTGAACAGCACTGTAACTGGATATGGAGTGGGTGCCTCTAGTTGAATCACTCCTGGGAGCGCCACCGGCTAGATCCCCCAGAAAGGGCAGAACCGATCGCGCAATCCTATCAATCCAGTAGGGCGGTGAGGCTGTGTATGTGGTGGGGTACCCTTCTCCGCTCTCGAAACGGAATTCCCTCCTTCCAACGCTATGGTAACCAGGGAGCCCTATTGTAATCAACTGCAAAGTGGGGTGGAAAATCTCTACCATTTGGTCCCAAAACCGAGCAATGTTTGCCTACTCCACCACACCTCGGGGTCAAACATTTGGAAAACGACACTGCTCGAGATCCCGAAGCTTAGCTGGGGAATTCCACCACAGTCTTCGTGTAGCCCTGACTTAGCTCTTTCCGACAACCATCCAAACTAATCCCACAGCGGCCATCTTCTTGGTAAAAAAATACGATTTTTGATAGTACCTCGAAAATGACCCAGCTGCCTTTCTGGCCACAGAACTAAGAGGCTTCTGGAAGCAGGGCAACCACACATTGCGTAGTGATTGGCAACAAGTTGCCAATGAAGGTGACATACATATAGCTGATCAAAATTGCTTCCCACTGGAATAAACTTAATTCGAAAAAGTCTGAAAGTGTCCCAGAACTTTTGGGACAACCTAATACGAATGTAGGTAGGCGACGATGGATCACGGCCGATACGCAAGGCCGGTCGCTTATCACAGAGGAGGGCCTGAGTGCTCTGGAACGCGCTTGCAAGAAAACCTTAGAGGCGGCCACCGCCTACCGTCGACAGCGGTTCCCAGGCGCGGCCCACAACGGGTATGCCTCACAACTGTGAACCGGTGACCCCTCGATTACCTACTTTTTCCCGGTGTCTGGAGTGCTCTAGAACGGCGTTTTACGGATTTTTCAGAATGGCGCCGCACACCCCGTGCACGCTCCGCCCGCAGCGGGTAGGCCTCACAATTGTGAACCGATGACCCCTCGCTGATCTTAAACTATTTTTTCCCGGTGTCTGGAGTGCTCTGGAAGCATTTTACGAATTTTTTAGGTTGGCTCCGGCCCACCTCCGGCGCACGCTCCGCCCACAATGCGAGTGCCTCGCAAATTCCTGCATGTGATCACTCGGGGCCATAATCCACTTTTTTGCCATCTGTAGTGCTTTAGGACCAAACTAACGGTTTTTTATTGGTAACATCCGTGCTTCAAATACACGCCCGGCGCCCACAGTGGGCCGACCTCAGTGCATGCCGCGAACATGGTGGACTCTTTGCCAGATGTTCATCTTCGTCGTAAACTTTTCTGCGATCTTTAAACATTTTCGACAACCGAGTTACCGATTTTTATGGAAAGCGCCGCCCATCTCGTACGCCCCGCCCGTTTTGGGCGTGTCTCCTCTATTCGCTCTGCCAACCACATGCCAAACGCTTATCCACCGGTTTTTTCTGTATGCCGGATCTGGCTGTTGTAGGCGCAAGTTATAGTATTTTTTGCAGTGACACGGGAAGCGCCGCCCATCTCACAGTACGCCGCGGCAGCCCACCCGCGCTCTGTTCGTCCAGCCTGTGCTACTTACTGCACTGTTCCCGCTCATCTGGCGGACGCTCTGGACGCCGGAGTTATGATTTTTTTGTCAGTGACATCGACAACTTTCCACGCACAAGGGGGATAGCATGCCGACCGACCTGGCTCCTGAAGTCGGATCGCGGCGCGCACGACTCGCAGCCCCTAACGTGACGCGTTGGCCTAGCTAGCGTCCAGGCAGGCTTGCAGTCGCGTCGGCTGTAGTACGGTGGAACCCGTGTGTGTCCCTGGCTCGCGTATTTTTCAAGATTGCTCGAGGTCCGAGCACCGTCCGCACTGTGGCGGGGCCTACCATTGGTCATGCGTGCTATTGACATATTGTTCATAGCCGTCCATGGACCCCTGCCAAGCCCTCCCTTCAGTGGCTGTGAATTCGTGACAAACATGACAGACGCACAACGCAGACACACCGCACAAGACACAACGGACATGGCCGATTATATACAGTAGGATACTCCTCTGGAGCTGCGAAACTGCTCACTGAGCCACTTTGGTCACAGGAATTTACTGGTCTTCACAAGATACCCTGTACATGCATTGGTTGTATATCGCTCGGTGCCCCCCTCCGAGGCCAAACTGTTATTCACCGACATTATTGCTTCGCACACAACTGCGACTGCCAAAACCAGCCTCTAATTCTATAGATTTACATACATTTTACGCATGGTGCATTTGGCGGCGACCCCATAGGCATCGTTATAGATGGTAGCCCACCATATGTTTCTTTTTCGATATGTTGCTACGATCAGGAGACCCGCTAATAAGAGATCGCCTGCACGCTCTATGCTTCTTCCACTCTGCCTAATCGAATAATGCACGCTTCCAAAGACTATTACAAGCTGCATCTCGTCGCCAATCAGTTGAGGCGTTGCCAGGAAGAATGGAATGAGCCCCTCCACGGCGTCTCTACCTGTTTCTTCCCTAAATCAATCACTAGCCAATCCCTATTGGGTAGAAAAGGCAAAAGACAGGGAGGGGCTCACTCTGACCCACTCCCCCCCACTGCTATCTCCCCGACTGGTTGCGACTGTACCTTCATGGAATCCATTTATGAGCGCGGCTGCGTAGCGTATTGTCTTTTTTTCGTATTCTTTGAACAGTATTCATTTTGTTTCCACTGATGTCTGGTAGTAATTCAGTTCACCCAATTGGGGCATCGCGCGGATACACCAATTGTGATTGCTTGCCAGCTTTAATAATTGGTGGAAAACGGACTGGCACTATGCCAAACCCAGATCCTCCCCCCTAACCGCCCAGGATCCGCAGTAAACAAAACTGTGGTTTTTGCACTTCCTGGCTAGGTGACTTGATACATTGCACCGTTGCCGTGCCATGAACATTTGCGTCCTGGCGCGACTGCCGCGCGCTCGACCTCTTGTAACGCCTCTACCGCCGCGATTTCAATATCGCGAACTATATTGCTGCTGGACTCTTCAGTATTGGTCTGTCAATCTAGGCATGGCGCTGCTTCCAGCTCCAGTTATGCTATTTTCGCGGGTTCGGATTCTGCCTGCGCAGGCAAAGATCGAACTCCTGGCTCTGGAGAGTGCACACATTCTAGCAGTCCTACACTTTTGACCACCTCAGCCTTCACAACCTGCAACAGTGGGTGAAACATATAAAAGAAAACTAATTATTCACTGAATTAGACGACTGAAAAGGATTAGTGGAAATTCAGTCCCACTGCAGTCTCCTGTTGACTCTACCCTATAAAAACGAACCAAAGAAAAGATAAACATAAAGGAAACTCTAAACAATTCCGCTTTCACTGTCATCAAGCGAGTAATGGCTTTCCATGGGGCTGAACTGTTTGCTACCGTAACCTACAACTCTCCAAGCTTCATCAGTGCCCATCAGTACTCAGTTTCATGTGCACGTACAGTCCTCATCATTGCTGGACCGGTGGGGCGTGTCAGTGCGGCTGCGTTTGGCGCGGTGCCAAAGTCGTTCTGCACCAGTTGTTGAAGCGGCAAGTGCATTGAAGCAGGCAAGTGCATTAACTGTCAGATTAAGTGAGGTCTTCGTAGACTACCTGTGATTCTAGCACTTTTTGTCGCGTACGCGTTTCAACAAAAGGGCTGAGAACGGCTTCAACAGTGTGCACACTCATACTGACTGACACGCCCCACCGGTCCGCAATGATAGAGGCACTGTATCACAACAGTAGCATTTAATAAGACAAACCAATCTGGGCCAACCCCCCCCCCCCCTTTTCCCATCCTACCTCCCATCTTACTGACTTTCCCACTGGCTAGCTGCGACTTCGATAAGGGGAAGGGTCAAATACTACCACTCCCAGAGCGACGAGCACATACGATGCAACCTGCTCCAAGGAAAGTCCTCCATGGAGAATAGCGCGCGTGAACAGAACCATGCGGAACTAACAATGAATTTTTTCTCAGGTGTCTCGATGTGGGAGATCACTTACTGCTGTTTGACTCCCGACGGGGCTGTGGACCCCCTTCCTTAGGCCCCTTGCGGAGCTATGTGCACATATTCCTTAGCATTATCAGGATGCTTCCTCATCCTCTATGGCTTAATGGTTTTGGCTACAAGCGGTGAGCCGAAAACCTTTGCCTAAGTTAATTTAGTACGAGACGCGTCTGGCTAGCGATTAGCGCGGCTCCTCGGTAAGCATTAGATTCGGGTTCGAGACCGGGATTAGAGCTTCGCTGGTCATAACTCAGCATCACTTGTTTTAGTGAAAGTATTCGCGCTCAGTAGGCAACGTAATTCCGGTCATCTTACTTCCAAGGACAAATAATTTCTAAAGCATTAATAATGTGCTTTGTGCTTCCGAACATTTTCATTTTTCTAGCATCTTGTGCGGCGAACAGTCGGTTGCCCGCCCCCCCCCCAACTATATAAAAATGCTTCGAAAATTATTTGAACTTTGCCCGATCTTTCATAATTCCTAGAAGGTTACTCGGGAGCAGCGTGCGTGCATGCCATCCACCCCCTCACTTCCTCGTCATAAACATTTGCCGGTTCATGTTCAACGTTCAATGGACAATATTCGATAAAACGTTCGGCTTTGTCGAAGCGGAATTGCAGCTGAACTCACAATGCTCCATCGATTTCCGCCAAACTCCCATCATTTCTGCCCCCACATTGCCAATTGCTACCAACCACCCATCATTGTCATCAACTGTTTTTCAGGAATGTACTCCATAACTTGGTCGGTTTTCATCGTATTTTTTATTCTTCACGTCATTATCCTAACCAAAGCCAGCTCGAGTTCTTCAGAAGAGAGCCACAGTTCAGAAGGAAGTTCTTCAGTAGGTTGATGCATACTTGCCGCTAGGGAGCCTAGTAACGTTTTCTTTTCAGAAAGAAAAGCGTGCTCCAGAAAGCAGCCAGCCGAAGACCGTAATGAGTCCTTGATGGTAGCGCTGTTCCTAGCCAGAACGCCGTTCCTAGCCAGAATGTGATCCAGCCCCAACCACCTGAGAAGCTCACGATGGACTCGTCAACTGGAGCTCCTACGGCGTCACCTACTACTGAGCCTGTACCTGCGACAACCATTAAGCCAGTGAAGCCTAAGCCATCACCACTTTCTGGTACATCATTCGTAAGTAAGTTTTTCTTATGGGATCTTATTAAAGTTGCCTTGAATTCGTAAGTATTCCCAGAGAGAGGGTAGCGTTTGTCACAGAGGCTCCATTTACTCTTCACTGCACCACCTTGCAAACTGCGTCACGTTCTCCATTAGTTACAGAT